GATTTTCCCGTACGGCACTGACAATCTAGTCTAGCGTACGGAGGGGACCTCAGTTGGCGGACGGCAACCGTACTGACATCGGTTGCCTAGCCTTATGTCGCCCTTCCAAGGAAATTCAGGAAGGCGCCGCGTAACAGGATCCATGCACATGTGGCTATAAATTGGCTATCAACTAGACAAGAAAATCATCATTAGCAAGACAAAAAATCCTTCTTCTTTCCTTCTAATTTCATTATTCACCAGCTTCCTTTTGTTGTCTTTCTTTTTGGTAGTTTAATCTCTTGTTCCCCTCTTGCAAATAGCTGGGTTTATTTAATTATGCTGATTCTTGTATCCTCTTAAATAGAGGTAGACTTGTTTAATCCTTAGGAGATATTTTATACTGCTGAAATAGGTTCTTAGGACAGTGCCTAGCACGACTCAAGTCAACCCGTGTATCCACTTACAAAGAATATTATTACAGTATTATTGTAATTTACCCGTTATCATTTTACTACAGCCTGAGTTGTATATAGTTCTCGTACTCACCAGCATGGTCTTTGTGGTCGGATATCCTCCAAAAGTTGTGCATTTTCGGAGGATTTACCACGAATAATTTGAAGAGTCCGCACAATATAGATTATGATCAATAATTTATAAGATATTAGTTTCTGGACACGTATTTTGCACGTGTTTATATCTCGTGTTAGTTATTAAGAATGTTATATAAAATAATAAAATTTTAATTGTATACATATTCTGAAAGTATTTGTTTGAATTGTAAAGTATTTATATAATGTTAAATTACTGTATTAAATTGTGACTAATTAATTCCACTCAATTGTCTCAGTATCCTAAAATAGTTTGACAGACCATTCCTTCATTTACTAAGAGACGGAAAAGATGAAACTTCTTGAAAAGGAACCGTTCTTGAAAAATGAAAAGTCTTGTAAACAAAGGTCTTTTCTTCTTCCATTTCTTTAATATGGTTCCTTTTTAATTGAATACTAAGAGTTACCTAAGACTGATAAAACGGAAAAGTTTGTAAATGTCCCGAGGACAAAATAATAAAATTCTACAAGAAATAAAGAATAATATAAAGAAAAAGTTTACATTAGTACTTGGACACCTGTGTTGCACCTATGTTATATATCAACTATTACAAATTTATATATTTCTTCTATTTTACTTACTTTTTTTTTAGTTTGCTTCAATAAGAATGCCACTTTTTTATATTTAGTAACTCCTTAGTTTAACATTCTACTTTCAGCCATTTCTATGATTTCAACAGCAACAAGGGAATTCAATTTCGTGATTTCGCGGGTTCCGTCAACAGAGAGCTTCATTATTGGAGATCTTTCGAGAAAATTCGAAAATGCAGGGCCTCTCTCTATAATAAAAACATGAGTTATGCTAATGATGCTGATTTATGGGTACATTTTTGCAATTAAAGTTGCTAATGTTGAAAGTTTTGAACTTATTGAATTTAAAGGTAAATTATATGAGTTTCCTCAGTTTGCATATACGAGTACATCACTGAGGAATTTGGTTTTAAGCGGCTGCAAACTGAGTCCTTCTGGTAGTGTGAACTGGAGTTATCTCCTTTCTCTTTCAATTAGGAACCAGAAATTGAAGGAGGGTGTAGTGGGAAAAGTATTATCTGGTTGCCCTAACTTGGAGTGCTTGGAACTATATCATGTTTGGGGCATTCATCATTTGGAAATCTGCTCTGTGAAGCTGACAAAACTGATCATTGAAGAGTACATGGATGGGAAGCTAGAAATATTAGCCCCATATGTTCATCATTTGCAAATTTTGGGGTCCTGCAAAGGGATACGCTTACACCAGATAAATGTGGCTTCACTTATCACCGCAGTTCTTGACTATTCAAATTTTGATGAGAATTTGGAGGAGGAGTTAAGCTATTTGAAGGAATTTCTTCACGGTGTTGCCCATGTTGAGAATCTTGAATTGGGTCCCTGGTGCATCGAGGTCTGTTCATACTCTTTGCTATCCAATATGTAGAATCTTTTTTCGTTTTGCGAGTTTTTATTTACTAGTTTAGTATCATTAACAGTGCCACTACTTACGATAATCTATTAATTAATTATTTAGTAGTAAATGATTAAATTCTCATGACAAAATCGGTTGGACAATGGCAGCTGATTGAGATAAGACCTTTAGAACAAAATTTTGGATGATGAACTGTTAGAGTAAAGTGTTTTCAATGGACCGAACAACATGTTAAATTGGGATTGTTTTACATTGATCATACACTTCTAAGTCATGTGAATGGGTTTTTCGAAGTTTTCAAAAGTTCATCTTTGGATTACCAAACCAACCTTGAGCACTTTGATTTGACAAAACACAGTTGTATGGTCCAAGCTATGTTCACGAATTATTCAACAATTTGCTTTTCATTTGTTAACTATGTCACATTTCCTTATTTTGGCATGTTGTGGTTTATCTATTTGGTTTATAAGTGCCTTTCCATATTGGAGTTGAAAGGATGGCAGTCTCAGCCATCAAGCCGGAAATTCTTAAAGCTTAATGCAGGCATGGAATCATTGTTCTTCCCTGGAATTTGCAGCTTTCTACAGAGTTCATCAGATCTTGAGACATTGGTTATTGACTGGGTCGATGACAGATCAAGAGTAAATTTCCGTTATACCTTTATTTTTGTAACTTCATGTTATCAATGTGAAACATCTATTAGTGGAAGAAGAAGGCAATATATTTCAACATATTTCTGATCTTACGTACTTTAGGAGTATGTCGCGTGGACTTTCCAAAATGTAGCTGCACCCGTGTTTGATCCTTAAAAAATGCACTACTTTTGGAGTATCCGACACGTATCTGGCCACATTTTCGGAGAGTCCGAGTAACATAGCTTTAGGAAAAAAACTCTTAAACCTATTTTGTCCTTTTTAAAAATTTAAACCACCTCAAGTTACAAAGAGGGGGACTTGACTGCCTTACCTCTTCAAAGTAAAGTAGGAGTTGAACCGGTTCAATCCTCAAGTTAAGAGAAGATTGAGAATGTTCAATGTCTGACAACAGCGTAGACTTGATGAGCTTTACAACAATTGCTTCTAAACTGTGGAGACTTGCTCCCCTGTACATTGATTCCATAAGAACCTAAAAAAGGAAAGTGGAAAGAGTATTCTCAAGTATCATTTGAGGTAACAAAAGGGTCTAACCAGGAAATTCAATTTTTTGCATTATTGGAAGTAAGCTTTGGGCTTTCTGTCGGAATCTGAAGGAGAAGGGAGCTGCCAGTTGTCAACCCTTAAGTGCCTTCGAGCTTCTCTTGATAGTGACTTAAAGCTGAAAAGTTTCCTTCTTTGTGTCCAGTAAGTGACTGTATCCAGCTAAAAAATCGGCTACACCATTAGTTTCTCCACAACCAGGTGTCTCACCTTGAATCAACTCTTTAATCTCATCAATAACATAGTGAAGGTTTTGCAACTCCCGTGGCAGTATTCACAATAAGTAAAGAGTCGGCTTCCACCCAAATGTTTCTAATATAACTTTCAAGACACCATTTAAGCTCACAGGAAAGTGCAAACGCTTCAGTCATTTTGTTTGTTCCATGGCCTAGTGGGACTGCATATGCCATAAATAATATCACCAATAGGGTTCCTCACTATGCGATCTGGTCCACATTGTTCGTGTCTGCAACTGCCATCCGTGTTTAGTTTTACTGATCCTAGATCAAGTTTGCAGCATTTTATTATAGTGCTTGTCCATCGAGGCGAGTATTTCTCTAAATGCTCACAGAAATTGCTCTAGGGATTAGGGAATGTGTAGTCCAATTTTGGAATTTTCATCTGAATGCTGCTTTACAAGGATTTCAGTATCTTCTTTTTAGTCTCGATAGTTGATGATTTCTCTTTGCTAAATCTGCTGCAGCAGCGTGCTTATTGTTGCTTTTTTGTGTAAGAAGTGCATTGGAACTTTTTGGTTCTCTCAATTTGTTTTCCTCAAGAAAATAGTTCAACTTGAGTTGCTTTGATAAAAATTTCATGCAATAATCTCTTTCCTAATACACTCCTTCTCTATCTCTTCCCTCAATATTGACTCATGGGCATTGCTAATAGAGTCTTGAAAATGACGACCAATATGAGGGGCCATGTAACCAACTATAAAAACAAAAAAATAAAGAGAGTAAAAATTTTGCGTCTTTCTAGGATAGAAACTGAAAATACAATAACAATATATCCAGTGTGATCCCACAAGTGAGTTATGGGAAGGGTAGTGTATGTGTAGACTCCCATCTTGTACATATAGGGATGTTGTTTCTGATAGAAACCAGGCTCAAGGAAAGCGCGGATAGAAACTTAAAAAAAAATATGCCAGGTCCGGAGAAGGGCCAGACTACAGTCTTACCCTAGATTTCTTCAAGAGACTATTTCCGCTGGTCGAACCCGTGACCTCCTGGCCACATGGTAGTAACATTACCAGTTTCGCCAAGTCTTCACTTCAGAAACTAAAAATATTTTCAAATATTATTACAAACCTGGGAATGGGATGGTTTG